AGATGGAATTGGGCACGAACGATTCTACCCGATCCCTTCCGCTTATCAACACCCTGTAAAACCCCGTTATCCCCATTGGAGAAATACCACCAAGGATTCTACCTGCTTACGCGCCGCAATTCAGATCATGAAGGCAGCCACGGCTCCGGAACTGGACCATGTCTCGGCCGTCTTCTTGCGAGCTGGAGGACATTGCCCACACGAGATATTTGAAGCACACCTAACGTCTATTTTCAAAAGGAAAGGATCCCCGATGAGTGGAGAACCTCCTATATAATCCTCTTTCATAAGAAGGGCGATAGATAAGATCTTCGAAACTACCGTCCAATCCTGCTGAGTGTGCTTTACAAGCTTTTCACAAAAATTATTCTCACTCGCATATCAAGGACATGGATGAAGCCTAACGTGGAGAACAAACTGAATTTGGTAAGGGATTCAGCCGCGTGGATCACATCCAGACAGTTTCGGGATTATCGAGGTTTGCCGAGAGTACCGCCTACCTCTCGTCCTAACCTTCTCGACTATGAAAAGCGTTTGACAGCGTCGAGACTGATCTAAAGCTTGTTTTCCGCCCCCTTAACAAGGGGTTCGACAAAGTGTTTACCGCCACCTTGCATGGGTGGTGAAATCACTGGGACGTAGCCTGACACTGTGGCTATGTCGAAGACATTCTGAACAACCCACAAGAACGCTGGAATTACGTCTTCTAAAGTACATCCGACGCACTCAACATCTCGTCGGACTTCGCAGTTCAGATATGAAATCAATGTCTCGTCTTCGCTATCCAGCGGAATACGTCTCTAACGCAAAAATGGGCTGGTCATATAATGAGAAGGACAGACGACAGATGGACACTAAAAACTCTGAAAGAGATCCCTCGCGAAGCAAAAGGTCCTCGAGGGAGGCTACCGACCAGATGGGCTGACGTGTTCGTTGCACGCAAGGACCAGCTGAATTCTCAGCTGGTAACGAGTAATGGATCTAAACCTCGCGAACGTCGCCGCTGCAGTTCGATACCAACATCGTGGACGCTAACGAGAGATAGAGAGGGATGGAAACAATGCTGGTGCCTGCTCGACGAGTGAAGACGGGCCATCTGAGTATCTAATTAATATGCTGTGATGTTAACTAGAGTTTGTCCTATATTTGGTACAGTAGTAGCAATCAAATATACATTTTGACAATAACCTCTGCTATTCTTATAACTAACCATTCACAAACGCTGCCGAAGCTCTCTTCGAGTCTACAGTTGCCGTGGGTTTCTTGGTCTCCACATCAGTTTTTTTCTCAATCTCTTCGTACTGTTTCCTTAGGTCGGCTTTCGTCTTTGGCTTCTTCGGCAAATCCGGGACAGTATACGACTCGTCCTCGTCGCTCTCTTCGCTAGACACAATTCGCCGCTTAGGGGCAAGGGCAGCAGCCCGTTTCGTCGGTGGCTTTCCTACAGCACTAACACGCTCACTGGCTTTGATCGCCGAATTAAACGCTGGTGTTCTGTTCGGCGCTTTCCTTGGTGGTGGCCTTTCCGGGCTAGATTCTTCTGATTCGCTACTCGACGCTTCCTTTCGCTGTGCAACACGTGATGACCTTTTAAGAGGCTTAGATGGTTGTGGACTTGGCGCTCGCCGTTGGACCTTGAAATGTTCGAAATTACTCTTAACCTCTGAAAGAAATACTGATAAGCTCACTTCTCTGCTACTCCTCGATGATGACGATGAAACAGGAGATGCCTGAGAGGCTAACGGCCGGCGCGCAGTGCTGCTTCCATTGGTAGTGGCAGTTGGGGTACTGCGAGAAAGCTCTGGCTTCCGGTCAACGTTTCGATTCTGAATAGGCAATAGTAATACATCCTTTTTTAGCTCTGCTAAGATTCATTCTCCAAGCGAATGCTTTACAATCATAACAATAGCTAACTTACTGCTGATGAGCTGTTCTTCACAGGAGGATCCGGAGATTTTTGTCGGTTTAGTTTACCTTCTTTCACCTATAATTCAAATTAAAGATGCATAATTCTGTACTAAAAAATAGTTGCACTTCGACTTGAATCCAGAAATTAAACCGTTGTCAGAAGGCGGCGTAGCAGGAGGTCCCAAAGACATGCCGCTATCCCCATAGGTGGCAATTAAAGGCGCGAGCCATCCCGGATGGGTCTGGGAACGTTCCAAAAGGTGGGTACCGGCGCACCCATCGCGCCGTCAAATGGGGTATGTTAATCCAAACCATGCATGCACGAATGAAAGCCTTTTACAAAAAGAAATAAACCATACACTGT